CTGGAACTACAGGTGCGCGCTACCACACCCGGCTAATTTTTTTGATTTATTGTAGAGATGCGGTCTTGCCAAGGTGCCCAGGCAGGTCTCCAACCTGCAGGTTTAGGCAACCCACTCACCTCAGCCTCCCAAAGCTCAGGATTATAGGCTGAGCCACCGAGCCCGGCTTGAACAATATCATTTTACTTTCAGTCCTCTACTATGTAGAATTGACTGTTACTTTTTTTCATGTACTTGATATTGTGTAATAAAGGCCACAAGTATTTTCTTTTAGAAAAGCACAAATAGCTTTATTAGACAGACATATTTATTGGAGGTTGCCATTTTTGCAAAATGTTAGCTATTATTACTTCACTAGCCACCATTAATTTTAAGAGCTTGTGAGACCTTTTATTATCTTTAAGTCTTCATGAAGTGACCTCTGTGTTTTACTCAGTTTTTGCTCATTTCACATATTTGATTATCACTGGAAAGAACTGAATAGGCTGATCTAACTTTAGAATTAGAGAGGAAAGAGGACAGATCTTGCTAATATTAGCAATGAGTACGGTTCAACTAAAGTTATATTTCATATACTATATGTTGCTAGTCCTCTTCAAGATTCCATTTCTCAATGGTTTTTATGAAGCTGCCTACAAAATAGTCTTCTTTCCTACGGTGATATTCATGGCCACATTCTAATATTATACAATTATGGAAATTGATTAATAGATTAGTATTATTATTTTGTTGTTGAGTTGGAGTCTCTGTCGCCCAGGCTGAGTGCAGTGGTATGCTCATGGCCACCGCAGCCTCAACCTGCTGGGTTCAGGCAAGCCTTCTACCTCAGCCTTCCAAGTAGGTGTAAATACAGAGATGTGCCAACACAACCAGCTGATTTTTTTTTAATTTATTATAGAGATGAGGTCTTACCAAGTTGCCCGGGCTGATCTTGAATTCATGGGCTCAGGCAATCCTCTCACCTCGGCCTCCCAAAGTGCTGGGATTATAGGCATGAACCACTGCACCTGGTCAATAGATTTTTAATTTAGGGCACATTTAGTGAATTTAGAAGGATGAAGCTGGAATCCTTTCTATAGAGAAGGCCACACTTCCTGCAGAGCTAGCTAAGAGAAAAGAGAAAAGAAAGAGAAGGAAGTCCCTTTGTGAGATGTAATGGGAAAAAGCCTCCTGACCTCACATTAAGTAGATACATGTGATGGGACTATAAAATTGTATGATTTATTCTGGGATTGTTTCTGAGTTGAGTCTAGGACTTAACCTATTGAAATTTAATGAACTCTTCCTAGGCTCAAAGGATTACTGAATAAGTGATTGAATTCCCCCACATAGCTTAAGAAGACAGCTGTGGTGAGAGCTGCTTCTAGAACTGTGTCCCTGTTCACATTCTGCCTTGAGCTTGAGTTAGTGACTTAACCTCCCTGAACCTTGGAAATCCCAGTAATGATGCCTGCAGTACAGGAGGATTGGGGTTATAAGGCACGTGAATGGTCCCTGTGTGTGCATGCCCAGAGGCCAGAACACCTGACTCCTGACTTGTGTTACTTAAGGAAATGTCTGACTGACATATGGACTGACCAACCGATCCCAGGCTCCACAAAAGTTAACTGCCTTCTTTTAAATAGCTAGACTTTCTTCTAAAGATAAAAGTATGTGTGTAGCTAAAACACATGGACTAAGCTCTGAACAGTTAAAGGTACTCTGCTCTTCAAGTACTGTTATATATTTCACTTTAATATTCATCTGGTGACCGGGCTCATGCCTATAATCCCAGTGCTTTGGGAGGTCAAGGTAGTAGGATCTCTTGAGGCCAGGAGTTTGAAACTAGTCTAGGCAACATAGCAAGACTCCATCTCTACAAAAAATAAAAATTAAATTAACTGAGCATGATGGAATATGCCCATAGTTCTAGCTACTCAGAAGGCTGAGGAGGAAGGATCGCTTAAACATAAGGAGTTTGAGACTGCAGTGAACTATGATGGTGCCACTGTACTCCACGCTGGGTAACAGAGTGAGACTTTGGCTCTATTAAAAACAAACCGACCCCCCCCCCAAAAAAACACCAAAAGTATTTTAAATAAATCACATACCTGTAAAAGAGCAATGTGCCTGAATTCCCAAAAGATATATGAAATTCGTCATCTGAAGTTATACTAGTTACTATATAACATATTGAGTGTTTTTCAAAGGGAGATATTGAAGATATTGCATTTTTGCAATTTAATAGTCTATAATTGCTTGGGTTTTAAATTTTAGTGAGCTTGTCTGAGCAGAGAATTTTTGCATTTCTCTTATAAAATGTTATATTATTTTCTTTTATTTTAGAAAAAAATTATGAAGTCAGATGTGTCTAACATAAAATAATGTCTGAGATTTGTGACAGAATAATTTTAGCACAACAGCTTACATATATATATTAGCTGAAATAGTCCCTACTTCTAAAGACAATGTGAGTGCCTCTAAATTGGTGTTCTATGAATCTTTTCTGCTTCTTATGTTTTTTCCCTCAAACGTAGGTCATGGGAATAGTTCTCTAGTGTATGTTTAGATTGCTGCTTGTTCACTTAATTCTTTTTTTAGCATTTTAAAACTTTTTTACAGTTTTCCTCCTACTGTTTTGTTTGGCAAAGACTTTCTAACTCAAACAGCTAAAAGAAAAGTTCCACAGTAGCAGGGTGCCATATAAAACAGGATCCCACACCTAAAATCTAAATGACTAGAGATGATAAAATATCTGCCATTAAAAAATACATGTTCTTTACAACTTATCTGGAAAAAGCGTTCCTTAGAGTGACATGTAATGTAAGAACATTTGAAATGAGTCCAGAGAGCTCCCCACTTAGATGGAGCAAACAATAGCAGCAGAAAGAAAACATGTTTGTAAAAATAGATAAAGTT